GGAGTGTCCACCAAGTGGGAGACCTGTATAAATACGGGCGGGTAGCCCACAGTAAACCCAGTTCATGTTTTACCCTCAATGCGGAGCTTGGTCTCGTTATTGGAGGGGAATTTACTACACGAATAGCGACTGCCGGATGGAATTATTGGCCGCTTGGGAGATATATGGATTCGGCTGTTAGCGGCGATTCGTGAGTTACTGACTGGGAAGTGAAGTACCCGTACGGGTCCCGTTCGGGAGATTGGAGTATTCCGCTGCTTGGGGTTCGTATGATTGGAGTTGATACGAATGCAGCTTGCGTTATGGTGAGAGGGGAGGATTCACTAAACGGCGGTTTGTACATTTGATGCCGAGGGTACCGTTACAATTACCTAAAAACGTTTTTTTAATATAGATAATTAAAAAAAGACTAAACAAAACAAAAATACAATAAAAAATAGCATAACTGGTTAAATGCATTGATTCTTTCAATGTCCTCATTAATGTCTGAAAATGACTCGTTCTGTTATTGTTTTCTTGTTACTGGTACAGCGCGGTTGGTGTTCTCTTTAACACGTTTCTCGAACTCCATGAGTCCCCAAGAGGTGCGAAGGAAATCGCCCAGGACATAACAGGCTGTTCTGATCACACATTAGTGTTTACTGTGAATAATTCAGCAAGTGATTACCATGCACAATAATACTGCAAAAAGATTGGAAGCCTATACTGCATTTAAAAATAAATAGTTGTAATAAAATAAATCTCGCCCATCCTCTAATATTGGTCGCTATAAAACAATGATGGTTTACCATAGAGCAACAAAAACTCCACAAGTGTAGGTGATACTTAATGACTCAGCCTCCTTACCATACCATCAGTCCATACCACCAACATAAATCTTTGTATATAATAGTTTCAGTTATAAAACCTCAAAGTAATGGTCAGTGCTGTATTGACTTTTCCACAATTAAACAACACACCCGCAGTCAGTTGTAGAAATAAGCCGGCTCATATGAAGTGATGAAGCCTATGGTGGCTTGCTGGTCAGCTTCCATAGAGAGAAACATTAGAAAATATTTTCGTTAGAATGTTAAACTCTCTCCAAAGACCTGACATGACTGAATGCAAGGGTGGAGCTACGACCAGGCCAAGGAGATCCGTTGACTGAAGACGCCCATACACTCGCCCTGCTATAAGCAATCCATCATGAAAAAAGGCTCTCTTCAATCCTCCGTTCCCTCCTAACAGCTAAATAGCAGTGAATCAAGGTGTTATACTCACCACTAATCTGCATGGCACAGTATGAGGTTCCACTTTCATCATCGAGCTGGACAATCAGTAACTGCCTTCAACCACCTCTAAGTGTTTGTTGGAGATAGTCAGGGCAGGTGCAAGGATTTCTGATGCCCTAGGCAAAGATCCATTTTGCTGCCCCCTCATGTCACTCATTCAGTGACAGAAACATACTGGCAGACACACACACTCACTGACAGACATACACTCACTCACTGACACACATACACTCACAGAAACTCACTAACAGATCCTTGAGGATTGGCCCGGCATTGGGGGCGGCTCAAGAGCTGCTCATCCAGCGCTGCATCCCGCTACATCCCAGTGGGCACCCCAAGCAGGCCGGTGCCCTAGGCGAATGCCTAGTTGGCCTAACGGTTGCGCCAGCCCTGGAGATAGTAAATGGTGGTGTAAGCCACACTGTCATGCTCTTTTTGGATTCTAAGTGGCTTTATCAATATAGCAAGTTGCATTAGATACATTCAAATTCCAGTAGAGTTCAGTCTTTGGGATGTAGTCCACATTTTCCTTCCCTGACTCCCGTAACAAGTCTAAGAATATATTCTTCAATCTAGTCCTTTCAGCCCCCTCCATACATCCTGAACACGCCACATCAGCAGAGTCTCGGTGAATGTGAATCTCGAGACATCAAACAACAGCTGACATCGGGTATGGAGGCAAAGGCATCAGCAGAATCGGTCTCTGCAACAAATAGAGTATATCTCTACATGGTTAGAGTATGTCTCTATATTGAATAGAGTGTATCTCTACATGGTTAGAGTATGTCTCTATATTGAATAGAGTATATCTCTACATGGTTAGAGTATGTCTCTATATTGAATAGAGTACATCTCTACATGGTTAGAGTATGTCTCTATAATGAATAGAGTATATCTCTAAATGGGGAGGGTATAACTCTGTAGTGGGGTGAGTATATCTCTGCTATGGTTACAGTATATCTCTTTAATGTATAACTTGCTAGTGAGAATAGTCTGTTTCTTTAACAAGGATCAAGTACGCACGTTTAGACAACTTCAACCTCCTCTCATACCATGTCCTGCCCACCATCTGCCCACTTCCAGCCTAGATGTGGTATTTGTGACGATAGTGGCCATCACTGGGGGCTGAAGATAGACAATGTATGTAGGTTCCCAGATTACTCCTATGTTTTAGTCACCCTGTGCCCATTATAGGTAGAGGGTGCATAATGTATTTGTTTCTTAGTAATTCCCCCTCCCCCTTTCCTTGCTGTTTTCCCAGAAGGGCGTTGTCCCATTGTTCCAAAGCCCCCTTCCATGTGCTGTATAATATTATATGTGTTTTAGGAGTTTTCATGTACTATGGGAGATTATTGTGTTAGTAAATCTGTGTGTATAAAAGGTAAACGGAAGGGAAGACACTAGTTTATAATACAATAGCTATTGTGCATTGGTTCTTGGTGTCAGGCAGGTAACTTGACCTAATTCTGTCCTAGAAACCAAGACTCCAAGGAGTGACTTGTATTGTTTTGTTTGATGAGCCCTGTTATGATTACTCCTATACAAACCTGTGGTTCACTGAATAAAGCAGTTCTACTTCACCCTTCACTAAGTCTCGGCTAGTGTTTTGGTGAGCAAGCTTTACAGCTATACATTGTGCAGGAGAGTGTGATCACTTGGAGCTGTAGCACAGGACCCTGTTTCAGGGTTGGAAGCTCCAGATAGACCCCAATCAAGCTACGGCAGCTAGGGGCTGAAGCGCGACAGGTGTCCCGGTTTTAGCTTGGTGGAGGAGTCCAGCCGGGGTACCAGGAAGTCCGTCACAGTATTGTTATTGCAAGAAGACCCTTATGGAAATAAATAGGTAGCTATTTGAATTGCCCCTCAACATCCATGACACCAGGGCACTTCTGCTTCATGTTTTCAGTACAACTCCCATGATGACAAGCCAGGTCCTTGTCTGGCAGATCATAATGTGAGCTGCAGCGGCTGCCTGTGTCTGGGTAAAGATTTCTGTTTTGTACCTGTGTAATTAATACTGAGAGTAAAGGAGCAGATATAAGAATTATCATGTTCTATCGCACTCAGGTGCAGTTAAATTATATGATCGCATCCAGTGACACCCTGACACACAGCTGCGATGCCCTTTAATTCATCCTTAAAGACATGCCGCCCACGGTACCTTCAAGAAATGTTCTTAACTTATTGCTAGCGACAAGAGTCAGAGGAAAAACACTCAGACAAACCCAACCATGAAAGTCATCGGGAGGGAAAAGCAAGATCTACATTCCAAGCATCAGTGATCAAAAGATCACGTTTACCGAGGTGAAACCCCGTGTGAAAATTGTGTTGAACTACCTCAAGATGTAGACAGAAGGATAAACAGACAGACAGACAAACTAACCATTTATTGAAACGTGTTTTTTGTGGGAGTTTGATCGTTTTTCGAATGCTGCTATAGCGATTTCTCATAGTGAGGTTATCATCCTCAGAGCCATTTCATTTTATATAGCATGAGAATCCTAACTTACAGCAAGGCATCACCCATTGAGGGGATATTTTTAATGACAATACACAGCATGTTCCACTTGCTTTGAAATATGTTACAATGACTTATACGGTCATTCCCTAAAGTGTGAAACATTCAAAGTGAATTTACAATTGTGGACAAGCACAGCTGAACTGAAATCCCGAAATGCTATAGAACTTGTTTTAAATTTTTGTTGTCAGCCAAATACCATTGATAAGCGCAGGGGGGAACGTTGAGTACGAGCACCCTCAATTCGCACACTGCACTGTTGTTGTGCTTTGTTGCTTTGTGTCTACACTTCTGTGATAAGCACAACCCACTAAACTAAAAGTTCCACTAAGTGTAGAATAGTTCAGAGAATAAACTTCTGCGAACTTGCAAACATAGTTATTGTGTATTGTTTATTACCAACGGATCGGCAGATGCTATACATGTCTAAACAGAAAATCTACAAGAAAACGGTGAGTTCTAAAGGGAAATGTTTTTTTATGTAGAAACTGTTTTCCTATAAAAACACGCATTAAGATTATTCGTGTTTTTACTGAGTTCAGGGTTGCACGAACAAAACTAAACGAAGTACAAGGTGCGATATGTAAAACACATCAAACAAGCAAACATTATTGCAGGAAAAAACATGCTTCATGCAATTAACAGTAAATTGGAGTGAACTGAACATAGGATTGGAGAAATTTAAGCGGATTTGTAGAAGTAGTCTAAACTAAACTGAAGTTATGGTTTGCGTTTTGCTATTAGGTTTTTAATTGCCAGCCATTCGCAGTTTATTGAATAAACTCCAGAGAGGTGGACCATTTGGGAGATTTTGGGCAGGAGGAAGATTTTATGCTTTCTAGAAAGTTATTCTTCAATTAATGAAGTTTGCAGGAGAAGATTGCTCGCCATTAATGCAAGGTTCACCTTCAACCGGCCAAACTCTATTTGGAAATTCTAAACCATTAAAATTAAATACCGATACACAAGACTACAAGTCAATGAAGAAGGGATTTAATCACATTTTCCAGCCATGAAAATCCATTGTCCAAATCAATACTGACGGTTTTTAATAAATAGTTTCCACTCATTTAAGGTAAACCCTTTTTATCGTAATGACAGCCTATATCATGCATCGGGATGGTAAAGGTCGCTGCTAATCTTCCTTTGCTTTGAATTAAATGCAGATTAGCAGAGGGACATGTCCTTCAGGAGCTATTCAAGTCCTTTTTCCCCAAACAAAGGCAACAATCGATATTAGTTTGACAAAAAAAACCTAGAACAAAGTAAAATAAGCTTTGTGTCAAGAGTCATTGCATTTGGTCCAATGGTTCTAAAGGACATTGAATTGTAACTGCTTGAGACACTTACTAAAGCAGAGCAAGAATCATTTGGTTAACGGTTTAGGAAATAAACCTGGCTGAGCGTAATGGGTGTTACAACCCAATAGAGCCCTGCTTCTATCTATCTATGGATTTATATAGTGTATAAACAGAGCGAGCCCTTCTTCTATCTATCTATGGATTTACATAGTGTATAAACAGAGCGAGCCCTGCTTCTATCTATCTATGGATTTATATAGTGTATAAACAGAGCGAGCCCTGCTTCTATCTATCTATGGATTTATATAGTGTATAAACAGAGCGAGCCCTGCTTCTATCTATCTATGGATTTATATAGTGTATAAACAGAGCGAGCCCTGCTTCTATCTATCTATGGATTTATATAGTGTATAAACAGAGCGAGCCCTGCTTCTATCTATCTATGGATTTATATAGTGTATAAACAGAGCGAGCCCTGCTTCTATCTATCTATGGATTTATATAGTGTATAAACAGAGCGAGCCCTGCTTCTATCTATCTATGGATTTATATAGTGTATAAACAGAGCGAGCCCCTTCTATCTATCTATGGATTTATATAGTGTATAAACAGAGCGAGCCCTGCTTCTATCTATCTATGGATTTATATAGTGTATAAACAGAGGAGCCGTGCTTCTATCTATCTATGTATTTATATAGTGTATAAACATAGCGAGCCCTGCTTCTATCTATGGATTTATATAGTGTATAAACAGAACGAGCCGTGCTTCTATCTATCTATGGATTTATATAGTGTATAAACAGAGCGAGCCCTGCTTCTATCTATCTATGGATTTATATAGTGTATAAACAGAGCAAGCCCTGCTTCTATCTATCTATGGATTTATATAGTGTATAAACAGAGCGAGCCCTGCTTCTACCTATCTATGGATTTATATAGTGTATAAACAGAATGAGCCCTGCTTCTATCTATCTATGGATTTATATAGTGTATAAACAGACCGAGCCCTGCTTCTATCTATCTATGGATTTATATAGTGTATAAACAGAGCGAGCCCTGCTTCTACCTATCTATGGATTTATATAGTGTATAAACAGAGCGAGCCCTGCTTCTATCTATCTATGGATTTATATAGTGTATAAACAGAGCCGAGCCCGCTTCTATCTTTCTATGGATTTATATAGTGTATAAACAGAGCGAGCCCTGCTTCTATCTATCTATGGATTTATAAAGTGTATAAACAGAGCGAGCCCTGCTTCTATCATCTATGGATTTATATAGTGTATAAACAGAGCGAGCCCTGCTTCTATCTATCTATGGATTTATATAGTGTATAAACAGAGCGAGCCCTGCTTCTATCTCTATGGATTTATATAGTGTATAAACAGAGCGAGCCCTGCTTCTATCATGGATTTATATAGTGTATAAACAGAAAGAGCCCTGCTTCTATCCTATGGATTTATATAGTGTATAAAACAGAGTGAGCCCTGCTTCTATCCATCTATCTATGGATTTATATAGTGTATAAACAGAGTGAGCCCTGCTTCATCTATCTATGGATTTATATAGTGTATAAACAGAGCGAGCCCTGCTTCTATCTATCTATGGATTTATATAGTGTATAAACAGAGCGAGCCCTGCTTCTATCTATGGATTTATATAGTGTATAAACAGAGCGAGCCCTGCTTCTATCTATGGATTTATATAGTGTATAAACAGAGCGAGCCCTGCTTCTATCTATGGATTTATATAGTGTATAAACAGAGCGAGCCCTGCTTCTATCTATGGATTTATATAGTGTATAAACAGAGCGAGCCCTGCTTCTATCTATCTATGGATTTATATAGTGTATAAACAGAGCGAGCCCTGCTTCTATCTATCTATGGATTTATATAGTGTATAAACAGGGCGAGCCCTCTTCTATCTATGGATTTATATAGTGTATAAACAGAGCGAGCCCTGCTTCTATCTATCTATGGATTTATATAGTGTATAAACAGAGCGAGCCCTGCTTCTATCTATGGATTTATATAGTGTATAAACAGAGCGGCCCTGCTTCTATCTATCTATGAGTTTATATGTATAAACAGGCGAGTCCTGCTTCTATCTATCTATGGATTTATATAGTGTATAAACAGAGCAAGCCCTGCTTCTATCTATGGATTTATATAGTGTATAAACAGAGCGAGCCCTGCTTCTCTATGGATTTATATAGTGTATAAACAGAGCGAGCCCTGCTTCTATCTACCTATGGATTTATATAGTGTATAAACAGAGTGAACCCTGCTTCTATCTATCTATGGATTTATATAGTGTATAAACAGAGCGAGCCCTGCTTCTATCTATCTATGGATTTATATAGTGTATAAACAGAGCGAGCCCTGCTTCTACCTATCTATGGATTTATATAGTGTATAAACAGAGCGAGCCCTGCTTCTATCTATCTATGGATTTATATAGTGTATAAACAGAGCGAGCCCTGCTTCTATCTATGGATTTATATAGTGTATAAACAGAGCGAGCCCTGCTTCTATCTATCTATGGATTTATATAGTGTATAAACAGAGCGAGCCCTGCTTCTATCTATCTATGGATTTATATAGTGTATAAACAGAGCTATCCCTTCTATCTATCTATGGATTTATATAGTGTATAAACAGAGCGAGCCCTTCTTCTATCTATGGATTTATATAGTGTATAAACAGAGCGAGCCCTGCTACTATCTATGGATTTATATAGTGTATAAACAGAGCGAGCCCTGCTTCTATCTATGGATTTATATAGTGTATAAACAGAGTGAGTCCTGCTTCTATCTATCTATGGATTTATATAGTGTATAAACAGAGCGAGCCCTGCTTCTATCTATCTATGGATTTATATAGTGTATAAACAGAGCGAGCCCTGCTTCTATCTATCTATGGATTTATATAGTGTATAAACAGAGCGAGCCCTGCTTCTACCTATGGATTTATATAGTGTATAAACAGAGCGAGCCCTGCTTCTATCTATCTATGGATTTATATAGTGTATAAACAGAGCGAGCCCTGCTTCTATCTATGGATTTATATAGTGTATAAACAGAGCGAGCCCTGCTTCTATCTATCTATGGATTTATATAGTGTATAAACAGAGCGAGCCTACTTCTATCTATCTATGGATTTATATAGTGTATAAACAGAGCGAGCCCTGCTTCTATCTATCTATGGATTTATATAGTGTATAAACAGAGCGAGCCCTGCTTCTATCTATCTATGGATTTATATAGTGTATAAACAGAGCGAGCCCTGCTTCTATCTATCTATGGATTTATCTAGTGTATAAACAGAGCGAGTCCTGCTTTAATCTAGCAGCTATTTTATATTAGAATTAAATGTCACAGATTCTGGTCTTCTACATTGATATTGGTAATAAAAAGCTAATTCTATTTTTTTAAAAATGTGCATTTTTCTCTCCTAATTATCGCTAGGTTTTTTACAACACACTTCATCCTCTCCCATTGAGTTCAGCCTAAAAAGTGAAACGTTTTTTTCGTCAGTGCTGAAACCATCGTTCTCCGAAAATTGCATTTTAACCTCACTGTTGTCCATTTGAAGCCTGAAACCCTGCGGACTGCCGCTTTTATAACATAGAAATCAATTTTGTCCTTTTCTTTCTTACACACTACTGCAGCATTTTGTAAGAACGACTAAAACGCAAATAGAAAAAACAATATGGTTCAATGTAAATGTTCACTCACCGGACGCTGCAGAACATTTCAGTTTAATTTTTTAGCAAATGGATAAATGTAACCCTGTGCGTGCCAGGGACATGCCCATCGCTCTGCTTTGCAAGGCATTGGCCCAATCTCAGGCACCCAAAGGGTCAACAACAACAAAAAAGTCCTTGGCCAACTTCCCAGAGTGCACTTCATGTGTATCACTGGAGGATATGTAATGTCCCATTAAACCATAAAATCAACTAAAAAACAGAATGAAATTAAATAAATCCCCATTTTCACATTTGCCAGTATTACAACTCATGCATATTATATGAATCCAATATACTCACACCAATTGTAACGCGTGGATATCTACCAATCTTTCAGATATTGTGTCGATATTAAACCCAAAATGCGTAGAAGAATGAAGCTCTTAAAGGAATACTCCAATCACCATAACCACTGTCAGCTGATACTCTCAGTCAATGCATTGCAGGAACAACAAGGTATCTGGTGCTGGGTAGACCATTAACAAACTGTTTAACACTTGTGTTCAGCTGGAGATCTCAGCCTATCAGTAGCTCCCTATTCACAAAACGGCATGAAGACAATAATGTTATAATGTTTCCCTCTCGCGGACGTGCCTAAGGCTTCCTGTTTCAAGCCTTGGTCTCAAATAGATGTGGAGGAGGCAGAGCTTGAAGACTTTGGGGCGAGCCGGTACCAGGGGCCTCCTGCCATTCCAATAATTTGTTATGGTATCCTGAGTGTTCCGTTAATATAGGATCCTGGTTCTCACTGAGGTGTAGTGGAGACTGGGAGCAGCACCTAGTGGGCCCAAGACAAGAAGTTAAAACATATTAAATGGATCTGACTACTTAAATGGGGGGTGGCGAGAACACGGCATACCTGACTCCTGGCAAGCTGTAGTGGTTATGGTGCTTGGATAGTTCCTTTAAGGGGAACAAGCATTTCACTATCCTGAGTTATAGCTTCTCCCCCTTGCATAGAGAGAGAATAGAGAGTGGAGATAAAACAGACACCATCGAACTCTCCTCCTTTAATGCAATGTGTGCCTTGACTGTGCCAGGACTGAACCAGATTGTGTCAATTCTTATATAAATGAAACCACGAGGGCTGCACTCAACATGCATACATTATAGGGTGCTGCTGGGGCCAATATATACAACATACAAAATACACAATCCAGCGCACTCGCTTATTCACTAAACAATAATTTCAAATCCTACAGATTGTAATAGTTTTATTCAGAAACACCTCACCTAGGTAAAAATAATGGGGATTTAATTACAGAATATGATAATATATTGCATTAGCCTGCCACAACTTACACGTGGTCCCCCACTTGCAATGTCCCTTCATTGTAAAGCCAACAGAATCCCTTCTTCAGGACAGCCGACGAGGAAGATGCAGCTCCTGCACCGCCCACCCACCATCCCCCGACACCCACAAAGGGCGGTAGACTTGTGCGCCAATATCAATTTTAGCCAGAGCCATTTAGTCCCACCACATACCTGGATTATTTCCACCATGCTAAACTGCCATATGTACGATAAGCCTCCCAAATGCTGTCTAAGTAGCAAAAGAACTGGGAGCAATGATTAGGGAATTTTTTCCCGAGCACCCTTGCCAGGATTCAAAAAGCGCGTAACCAGTTTCCGAAAGACTTAGGTATCTTACGATACCTGCACCTCTTCTCCACCTCCTCCTTCTTATTATCCTTAAGGACCTCCTCTTTGAAATCAATATACTCCTCCAATGGGAGCAATGAAAAAATGTCTACATAGTCCTCCCACCAAACCTTGTCTCTGATTTCCTGCTTAAGGTGACAACCTAAAGGCCCGAAGAACGTCACATGTACGTTCTGACGTGCCGCATCCGGTATACACCCCAACAAGTCGTTCCGTTCTTCCCCTTCCCCCAAAGAGTCGCTGAGCGTAGTCTCATTTTTGCAGTCCAAACCTGGTGCCCTGCAACCCTTAACTCTTTCTTGCTTCCTTCCTCTGCCTCTCTCTTGCTCCCTGAATTTCGTTTTCATCCCATCCCACCTCCTATAGACTTTAAACTCGTTTGAGCAGGGTCCTCTTCAACCTATTGTTCCTGTAAGTTTTCTGGTAATTGTCCTATTTATAGTTAAATCCCCCCTCTCATAATATTGTAAAGCGCTACAGAATCTGTTGGCGCTATATAAATGGCAATAATAATAATAATAATAATAATAATCACAATCTTGTAATAGAGATCTTAAACTATGCAATAAACCTCCCATGTTTGGTGTAACTGGTGACTCACCACTATGACCCCCAGTCGTATCAGACCTAGGGGGAGCCATCCTTCCGTCAACTCCAAGAGAGTCCGGAGCATTCCATGATGTTGCTTGTTCTGCTTCCTGGCACCATTCAAGCACCGCATTCAATGGATCAGGATCCCTGAAAGAAGAAGCACACCTGGGTAGTCTGTCCACAGAGGCCCCTACACGTCTACTCCTAGTTAGATTTGTCCTTCCTCCACTTTCTGCCCTGCACAAGCTGCCATGATCTAAATGGGCCCCATTAGTATGCAATTGTTTGCTGGGGCTTCTACTTGCTGACCTGGAAACACTGTGGTGACATCGGCTAGACCTATCTGAAGTGACCGATCACCTATCTCCGCTATTTCTATCTCCTACTTGCCTGCCCTTGCTGTGATGCACTACCAGGGATCCTACGCCTCTGCCTTGTCCCTGCTCACCCTCTGACATGCTGTCATCGGATACATGGCCAGGGCAGCCGTTCTGCTCGACAGCGTGTAAATGTGATTTTATTGCCTGTGAGTGGCCCCCGAGGGGCTCCCGCTGAGGGCCAATCACCTTGGTACTCTGCTCTTCGGGTTGGCCTGCCTGGCGCTGATTAATCTCCCTGGCCCCTGACAGGGCCACAATAGTATCTATTGCCTCCCCCCGTCTAGGTGTAGCATGATGGGATTCTGAGTGTGTGTGCTGTGTTGTCTACTTTTTTCCCCACTTGCCGTAATACTTTGCGCCCACGCATATTTCTGCGGGAGTCCCTGACCCTAGCAGGGGTTATAGGAGCATTATGAAGACCCCCCCTTTCTCCTGATCTGGGCCGCTCCCCCTTAAATTCCCTTTCGTACCTATTTGCCTGCAATGTTAATGGGCCATCTGTGGAATCAGGCTCAGACTCACCAGATGATATGTGTGTTTGTAAGTCCTGTAGTTCTTCCTCCCGCCGCTCACCATTCCTGGAGTGCTCACCGCCACTGATTGGAATCTCTCTGCTCTCCTGCCCACATCCTCGTGGCAGGGCGCTTTCCGTCGCCGGTCACATTATAAATGGTGATCAGGCCCTGCGCCGTGGACCGGCGTCCTGCCGCAACTACCCGCAGTCGCTCCACATGTCTCCGTTCCCCAACCTCCAGTCACTGGTCCTGGGCTCCTTCTCCTTCTTCTTGCCAGAATGGGGCTGGGGCTTAGACGTTCCGGCGGCCTGGTCCTCCGCACTGGGCGTCCTGATGGAGTAGTTAAAGTCCCAGACGGCAATCCCGGCATCTGAAGTCTCTCCTGGGCCCATCCAACACCGCACTGCTCCATCACCGCTCGAACACTTGCTAGGAAGGCCTCCATGGAATCCACCTAGAAGACAAAAGAGGGAGACACCTACCAAACACAACTGCAGGTAAGGTAGGCTGATTAGAAAAGGGGGCAATCTCTAAGATGGCTGCCATAGATACCCCTATTCTACCCCGCCCCGCCACCACCCCCCATCTGCTTCCTAGCTCTGTCAAGGCCCATTCCACCTATTATGCTGTTCCATGGGCTACAAAACTTTCACCTCCAGTAATAACTGATACCAAATCTCCATTTATTAACACTAAATCTAGTATGGCCTCTTTACGAGTTGGCTCCTCAATGACTTGTTTTAGAGACAATCCCAGTAGGGAGTTTAGAATATGTGTGCTCCTGGCACAAGTAGCTATTTTGGTTTTCCAATTCACATAAGGAAGATTAAAGTCACCCATGATGATAACTTCCCCCTTCATTGTCATTTTAGCTATTTCCTCAACTAGTTGATTATCTAACTCTTCAATTTGTCCTGGGGGCCTATAAATCACACCTACACGAGTTACTGTGTGATTACCAAATTCTAACGCAACCCAAACGGACTCTGTGTTCACCTCACTAACTTTATTTATGCTAGATTTTATGCTACCCCTCCCCCTTCCTTGCCTTCCCTGTCTTTTCCATATAAATTATCCTATTTATTAAAATGATATTCACTAATACAGCAAGACATCTTTGTTCTAAATGTATTCCATGTGGGTGGGTTAAAGTAGTCGTAAGATTTGCAGTTTATTAACATTCAGTAACACACAGCGTAATTTCGATTCCGTATTGTGTTTATCTTGGCTCACTTACAAGGACATACACAAAACAGGACTCTGGCGTAGAGCACAATTTTACTTTGCATTATAAATTGCTATAAAACATAGTTTTTTGTGTTTGGGTAGCTGAGAGGCATTTGATAAATCATCAGTCTACATTATTCAAAAATAATAAAATGCCAAAAATGGATGATGGATTTTGGCAAGTGGTGGCTGCAGTCTCTACGAAATATGTTTATTAGAAAAATGTTATATTTTTTTCATTTTCAGCATTTTAACTTTGAGAATTCTTTGAGCTTTATTAGGGTACTTTATTATGCTTGGGACATTCTCAGATAAATTAGAAACAGTAGCTGATTGCAACCAAGAATATATCTTTCAGAGTACGGTGCAAAATTATTAACAGTATCAATTCATCTTGGAGATTCGTTTTGGGCCAAATTGCAATTCCGCAAAATTTGGGCCTTGGACCTATTTTACTAGGTTCTACTATCCAAAGTTAAGATAAATGGTATACAGATTATAATACATTCAGAATTAAGCTTAAAACCAACTATTTAAGGTGGATAGCCACCCCCTCCCTTCCTTAGTTTTATTATTTTGTTGTTGTTTTTTTAATTATTTTAATTTTTGTACATAAATATAAAACTTTTTTTCATAGAAATTCTATTTACAATTGGTTTTAATTACTAATTATTAATGCAATTGTGAATAGATAAGAGTTTATACAAGTATAATACAAAATACAAATAATAGTATTTAATAAGACCTGTTTATTGTGAAATATTTTTTTGTTTATGTAAACATATATTGTGTTGTATGTTCATTGAATATATTTATGGTTTAATTTGTTTGAAAGTTTTAAAAATGTTTCTTAATAAACATTATTTGAAGAGGAATTAGATTTTTCCAATTTAGCAATGAGTGCCTGAAATTTACAATTCACGTAATATTCAATAAACTCGGAACTGTTGTGATAAGAAATCCAAATAGTAAAATAAGGTGAAAATGTTCAAATTGTGGCTTGAGCAGAGGTGGGAAAGTTCTCCAAATCAGCTTTGGATTGTAATAAAAACATAGAAACATAGAAACATAGAATGTGACGGCAGATAAGAACCAT